CCCCACCTCTACTAAAGATGTACTTAAAAATTAAGCTGGGGCGTGGGTGGCGGGGCACTGTAGCCCGGCTACTCAGGGAGGCTTAGCAGGAGAATGGCGTGAACCCAGGAGGGTGGAGCTTGCAGTGAGCTGAGATCGCAGCCCACGTGCACTCCAGCGCTGGGTGGACAGAGCGAGACTTCGTCTCAATAAATAATAAATTATAAGATTAATGATAAATAAATAAAAATATAACTCAGCCACTTTGGGAGGCCGAGGTGGGAGGTCACAGGTTCAGGGGAGTTCAAAGATCAGCTTGGCCAAGATGGTGAAACCTGTGGTCTTCTTACTAAAAACAACAAAAATATTCTTCTTTTTTTTTTCTTTTGAGACGGAGTCTCCCTCTGGTGTCCAGACTGGAGGCATGTGCAATGGCATGATCTCACTCACTGCAACCTCGGCCCCCAAGGTCCAAGAGATCCTCCGTGCCTCAGCCTCCCGGTAGTGGGATTGACAGGCACGCAACCACACGTCCAGCTACTTTTTTTGATTTGTTTTTTTTTTTCAGTAGAGACAGGGCTCTTCACGTATGTGGCCAGGGCTCGGTCTTGGAGCCCCTGACCCCGATAGGTGATCTGGCCCGCCTTGGCCTCCCAAACGTGGCTGGGATTACAGGCGGGTAAGCTGCGTGCCTGGACTAGTTTTGATATTTTTAGTAGAGGGACAGGGTTTCAACCATGTTGCCAGGCTTGTCTCGAACTCCTGACCTCAGTGATCCTCCTGCCTCAGCCTTCCAAAGTGCTGTGATTAGCAGGCATGAGCCACCCGTGCCTGGGCTGCAAAATATAAAATTTGAAATGTACATGCAAATTTTAAAAAAAAATTTATTTTCTCTTTCCTTTTCTTTTTGGACATTAAGGTCTTGCTCTGTCGTTTCAGGCTGGAGTTCAGTGGGGGCATTCTTGGCTTCACTGCAACCTTGACCTCTCCAGGGCCCAAATGATCTCCCTACTTCAGCCTCCCAGATAGCTGGGATAAACTCCTGGGCTCAAGAGATCCTCCCACAGGCCTCTCAAAGTGCTGGGATTGCAGGGGTGAGACACTGTGCCCATCAAAAAGCTGTTTTCAACTAATGCAGCAATTGGATCTAGTAGAGCAGACTGGGGACTGGAGTGGGAGGGGGACTTTTCACTGTATGTCCTTTGGTGCTGTTTCATTTTGAAAAGCCACATGCATTTCTTACCTATTGAAAAATCAATGGTAAGCAGATATCTAACAAACACAGGGTGAAATACACACTCACATTACTTGAATGTTATTTGGTTCAAACCTTTTGGAAAGGATTTTGGCCATATTTATGAAAAAATGGAAAATGTTCCTGCGCTTTATACTGATAATCTCAGAATTATATCCTATTAAGAAAACTAAATGCAAAAAGTTTTGTGTAGAAAGGTTATGTGAAGTTATTTACACTGGTAAAAATGAGAAACAGCTTGAATATCACACAGTACAATAAAATGTTTTACTTGTAAATATATCCCCTGAGCAATACTGTTGGAGAATATGCTAAGCCAGGTGCAGTAGTTTATGCTTGTAATCCCAGCACCTCCAGAGGATCACTTGAGGCCAGGAGTTCAAGCAACATAGCAAGACTTTGTTTAAAAAAAAAAAAAAAAAAAAAATTAAAAGGATGGTAACATAAAAAAATGCTTGTAATCTCAAATTTAAAACATTCCAGCTATATCAGCTAACTTGGAAAAAGGGGGAAAAAATTCCAGCTATAATGTCACTTTACAAGGCTGGGCTTGGCAGCTCACGCCTGTGATCCCAGCACTTTGGGAGGCTCAGATAGGCGGATCACTTGAGGTCAGGAGTTCAAGACCAGCCTGGCCAACATAGTGAAACCCTGTCTCTACTAAAAATACAAAAATTAGCCAGGCGTGGTGGCACATGCCTGTAATTCCAGTTACTCGGGAGGCTGATGCATGAGAATTTCTTCAACTTGGGAGGCGGGGGTAGCAGTGAGCCAAGATCTTTGCGCCACTGTACTACAACCTGGGTGACAGAGCAAGACTCTGTCTCTAAAAAATAAACAATTAAAAAATGAATAAAATATTTTTTTAAAGAAAGTAAAACAGGTAAAAAAATTTCAGAGAAAAAATTTTTTTGGGGGGGTGGGAGGACAGAGTCTGCTCTGTCGCCCAAGCTGGAGTGTAGTGGTGCGAGCTCAGCTTGCTGCAACCTCCGCCTCCCGGGTTCAAGCACTTCCCCCTGCCTCAGCCTCCTGAGTAGCCGTGATTCCACCACCACACCCCACTGATTTTTGTATTTTTTTTTTTTTTGGTAGAGATTGGGTTTTGCCATGTTGGTTAGGCTGGTCTTGAACTCCTGACCTCGGTTGATCCGCCCGCCTTGGCCTCCCAAAGTTCTTGGATTACAGGCATGAGCCACCGTGCCCAGCCAAGAGGAAATGTTAAGGCTCATTCTCAGTTTGTCTTTTCTTCATTGCAGATTCTGTAGCTGATTCTGTAAATGTTGATGGAGTGGCAGGTCTACCTGTCACACTGCCCTGCCGCTACAACGGAGCTATCACATCCATGTGCTGGAATAAAGGCACATGTTCTGTTTTCTCATGCCCAGATGGCATTGTCTGGACCAATGGAACCCACGTCACCTATCGGAAGGAGACACGCTATAAGCTATTGGGGAACCTTTCACGCAGGGATGTCTCTTTGACTATAGCAAATACAGCTGTGTCTGACAGTGGCATATATTGTTGCCGTGTTCAGCACAGTGGGTGGTTCAATGACATGAAAATCACCATATCATTGAAGATTGGGCCACGTAAGTTTTTCTTTGACATTTCTTGCTAGTTAATTGAATTTTCTGTTTGGTAGTAATTTTCTTTTTTCTTATTAGGGAAAGAGGGGGTTCCTGTAAGTCCTGTTTTAAAATAAACTCTTGTTCTTGGGAAATAGAATAATTTTTGTGTAGATGAAGTTACAAGGCCAAGCATAATTCAAGGTCAGGCTAGAGTCAGCAAACTAGCTCCTAAAACAGTACAATTGTTCCTTGATATCCATGGGAAACTGGTTCCAGGACCCCCTTGATACCAAAATCTGCAGATGCTCAAGTCCCTTATGTAAAATGGTGCAGCATTTGCATGTAAACTATGCACATAGTCCCATATACCTTAAATCACCTCTAGATTACTTATAACCCCTAATACAATGTAAATACTATGCAATTGGTTGTTATACTGCATTATTTAGGGAATAATGACCAACAAAAAAGTCCATATTTGTTCAGTACAGCAGACAACATATCCTTCTTTTTCCCCTGTACATTTTCCCTCCAAAGTCTTGGTTGTATCTACGGATGTAGAACCCACAAATATGGAGGGCCGAATGTACTTCAAACAGAGTAATTGGTCCAAGAAATAGCATTTACTGTTCCGTAGTAAAATACAGTGAATATTTTTATCAAGCTGAATTTATTCACCTTAAAGAACTGTCCTTTTTAATTAATTAATTTATTTTTTGAGACAGAGTCTCGCTGTCGCCCAGGCTGAAGTGCAGTGGCACAATTATGGCTCACTGCAACCCTCTGCCTCCCAGGTTCAAGCAATTCTCCTGCCTCAGCCTCCCGAGTAGCTGGCGCTACCACACCCAGCTAATTTTTGTATTTTGTATTAGTAGAGATGGGGTTTCACCATGTTGGCCAGGCTGGTCTTGAACTCCTGACCTCAAATGATCCACCTGCCTCAGCCTCCCAAAGTGCTGGGATTATAGGCGTAAGCCACCACGCTGGGCCTTTTTTTTTTTTTGTTTTGTTTTTGAGACGGAGTCTCACTCTGTTGCCCAGGTAGCAGGCTGGAGTGCAGTGGTGTGGTTGCTATTCACTGCAACCCCTGCCTGCTGGGTTCAAGTGGTTCTCTTGCCTCAACCTCCTGAGTATCTGGGACTACAGGGGTGCCTCACCATGCCCGGTTAATTTTTTTTTTTTTTTTATGGTCTCTGTAAAATTCTTCTTTTTAATTTATTTATTATTTATTATTATTATTATACTTTAAGTTCTAGGGTACATGTGCATAACGTGCAGGTTTGTTACATATGTATACTTGTGCCATGTTGCTGTGCTGCACCCATCAATTTTTTTTGTAGAGGTATGGTTTCACTATGTTGCCCAGGTTGGTCTCAAACTTATGGGCTCAAGCGATCCACTTGTCTTGGTCTCCCAAAGGGCTGGGCCTACAGGCGTGAGCCACAGCACCCAGCCTTACTGCTGATTTTTTGTTTTGTTTTTTTGAGACAGAGTCTTGCTCTGTCGCCCAGGCTGGGGTGCAGTGGCTTCATCTCAGCTCACTGCAACCTCCAGCTCCTGGGTTCAAGCAATTCTCCTGCCTCGGCCTCCTGAGTAGCTGGACTACAGGCGCATGCCACCACGCCCAGCTAATTTTTGTATTTTTAGTAAAGATGGGGTTTCACCATGTTGGCCAGGCTGGTCTCAAACTTCTGACCTCAGGCAATCTACCCACCTTGGCCTCCCAAAGTGCTGGGATTACAGGCGTGAGCCACCGTGCCCAGCCATTGCTTTTTCTTAATGAATCTTCTTTCACTAAGGTCTTACAATGATAATAGAACCCAATACCTATGACCTTAATGAGCTGTGTCTCTATTTTCGTTTTAAGTAAGAGGAACTTTAATTTGCAGTCTCTTAGCTTTTGGACTTGGATTGTTTCCCTCATAAGGGTGAGCAAGATGAGGTCAGTTCTTTTTTTTTTGAAACAGGGTCTTGCTCTGTTTCTCAGGCTGGAGTGCTGTGGCCCAGTCTCTACTCACTGCAACCTCCACCTCTGGGGTTCAATCAATTCTTGTGCTTCAGTCTTTCAAGTAGCTGAGATTACAGGCATGTGTCACCACACTTGGCTATTTTTTGTAGAGATGGGGTTTCACCCTGTTGCCCAGGCTGGTCTTGAACTCTGAACTCCTGAGCTGAAGTAGTCCACCCACCTTGGCCCCACAAAGTGCTGGCGTTACAGGCATGAGCCACCACGCCCAGCCTCTACAAAAAAAGTTTTGTTTTTTTTTTAAATTAGCCAGGTGTGGTGATGCCTGCATGTAGTCCCAGCTACTTGGGAATCTGACACAGGAGGATTGCTTGAGCCTGGGAGTTCAAGGCATCAGTGAGCTGATCATGCCACTGTAGTCCAGCCTGGATGACAGAGTGAGACCCTGACCCCAGAAAAGTGCTTCAGTGCAAATATGAGGCATCTGTTCTTATTTCTGAATATGCATGCACCGTTCAATATATCTTCTCTTCTTTTGGAAGAAGGGGCGTGTCTCCAAAGCCCTCTCCTGTCACAGTTTCTAGCTGGGCAATGACCAAGATTGAGAGTTCAAGAAGTTAATTCCATCTTGGGACAGTCTGTCATTGGTGTGCCAGGGTACGGTTCCAGCCTGAGGCTCTTGTTTCTTGTTTGACTCATGCTCATTCTCATGTTGATTTCTGACTCCAGCCAGGGTCACAACTACTCCAATTGTCAGAACTGTTCGAACAAGCACCACTGTTCGAATGACAACAACCCTTCCAACAACAACAACTCTTCCAACGACAACGACCCTTCCAACGACAACAACCCTTCTAACGACAACGACCCTTCCAACAACAACGACTCTTCCAACGACAACGACTCTTCCAACGACAACGACTCTTCCAACGACAACAACCCTTCCAACGACGACTCTTTCAAAGACAACGACTCTTCCAATGACAACGACCCTTCCAACGACAACAACTCTGCCAACAACAACAACTCTTCCAATGACAACGACCCTTCCAACGACAACGACTCTTCCAACGATAACGACCCTTCCAACGACAACGACTCTTCCAACGACAACAACTCTGCCAACGACAACAATGGTCTCTACCTTTGTTCCTCCAACACCATTGCCCATGCAGAACCATGAACCAGGTAAAATAGATGTGTTTGGGAGCCCAAAGACCTTCCAATGAGGAGCTGTGAACCATCCAGGGCATTGTATCAAGGTAGAAGGACGGTCTAGAGTTAGAGATCTTACCTGGGTTTCAATCAGGGTCTCCTCAGGATTTGTGATCCTCCCCAACTCCCAAGTTACATGCATCTTTTGCACCAATAAGCATTTTTGGAGTGAGGGGACCCATTGCTTTTTGTCAGATTCTCAAAGAAATTGATTATTAACCGAAAATAGCTGGACCATTTATTGTAGGACATCTAACAGGGATAGTATGGATCTGATTCAGCTATGTATGGCTTTATGATGAAAACACAGGGAATGCCAGAGAACCAAAGGTCAGATAAATGAGATTCTGTCCTCATGAAGAGCTCTGAAGAGAGATCATTTAGTCCATTCTGAAAGCAGACCTTGATTTCAAAGAATTTAACATTTACTGTTTTCTATTTACGAGGCACCATGCTTCATGCATTTAATTGTTAGGATAATTATATTGACTGTAGGTGTGGTTTATAATTGTGAGAACTGAGACAGAATCTAAAAGCTCATTGTTGAAAGTTACAGAGATAGAAGCCAGGTGCGGTGGCTCATGACTGTAATTTTAGTCCAGGAGTTCAAAACCAGCCTGGGCAACATAGTGAGACCCTGTCTCTGCATGGTGATGTATGCCTCTAGTCCCAGCTACTTGGGAGGCTGAGGTGGAGGAATCGCTTGGGGCCAGGAGGTCAAGGCTGCAGTGAGCCATGATGGCACCACTGTACTCTCTAGCCTGGGTAACAGAGTGAAAAAGAAAGAAAAGAGAAAGAAAAAATAAATTTACACAGATACAAAGTTGTTGAGTCAGGTTTTGATCTCTGTTAGCTTGAATTGGGGCCAGTACTTTTAACTACTGGATCATGCCTCCTATTATGAGCACCGAGTTTTATGTTTGGATGAGTTTGCCCTGATCTAACATTTTTACTGAAAAAAAAAAAAAAAAAATCAAAAAAACCCTTAAACAACCATGCTGTTTTTTCAGGGCAGTCAATAACTTACACATTTTTACTTCAAAGGTCCTTTAATTTATTTATGTACAATGGACATTGCGAAAGGTGCGATTTATACCTAGGAAAAAGTACCATTAGATTTAAGGGCTTTAGGGATTTAGAATGTACATGTTTATTTTTTTTTCAGTTCAGGCCATATAGTTGATACTTCAAATTCCCTGTAAATAAGATATTAGATTTAATATAAATGGAGGATAACTTGACTTATAGGTGGGGAAATAGCTTGTCATTCTGAGGACAAGTATAGGTTCAAATCTTCCATTTCCGGGATTTAAAAGATAACTTTTAGTGGAGATTCTCAAAGCTCTAAAAAACCCATTGACCCCTTAGGGTGGCTCTGGATTCTGAGGAGTAACAAATGTCACAACCTCTTAGCTGGAAAAATCTGATGGAACATATTGCTTTCCCTTGACTCTCATTGAATTGTGTGTGTATTTAACCAGGAGGGATCTGAAGGATTGGGCTAGTAGCTCAGTTTGGAAGAGAGGGTGTTAGTTAGGTCATAGCTTGGATTTTAGAGCCATAAAGTTTGTAAGAAAAACAGTTTTGTTCCAGGCAGTCGACTTTCTCAATGTTGATTTCACTTTCAGCTTGTGTCTGCTAAGGTGGATGGATTAGTGGACTTGTTTTGGAGAACATCCCCAAGTCATTGACTTCATTTAAAGCCAAGATTTGGGAGAAAGTTGCCTTTCTCCTAAGAGTTGGTTTTTATGGCTATAACCTGGAGGATGGTATCAACTGAGGTTTTTCTTATCTGGATAGTTTTCTAAAGAGTTTGCATGAGTTGAACATTACAGTCCAAGAATGAGAGAACCCTGGAGTGAATGGAATGCAGGGACATTTACATTTGCATCCAATCCGCCCTGCTCAGTGTCCCTAGTACCTGCTCGCTGCCTAAAACATCCATGGAACAATTGTATGTATGGTTGTAGGAGCAGCGGAGAAAAGAAAGATGCCATAAAGACCCAAACTTAGGAAAGAAGTTAAGCTGAAGAGGTCTTTTGCACAGAACTCAATTGGGTACAGACTGCCCACATGACTCTCCTGTGTTATTCTGGTTTTTGTTCCGAAAGAGAGCCACATCCTCTTACGGGTTTGAGCACTAGAGGAAAACAGGAAAACAGTTGAGAACAGGAGAAAGAGTGATGTTGAAAAGTGAAGTTATGGAGACTGTGGTGGGGAAGGAGAAACAGACCAGTGAGAGGCAATAAGGAAAGCCCAGGTTTTGGAATTCATCCAGTCACCGTCACTAATTGACTCTAAATTTCTGTGGTGCTCTAAGAGAAGGGAATCATGTAAATGCTTTGTAAAGAGGCAAGTGATCAACTTTGCAAATAAGGAAATAAAGGAGAGATTTCAGGAAAGGAAAGGGGAATGTAGCCCTATGCTGGAGAATTCCTAATGGAAGCTTTCCAGTGAGAAGTGGAAGATGAGTCAGAAAACACAGGAAATCACCCTTAAAGGAATGACTAGAATGCAGATGCGGAAGGAGCTGGGGTCAGGGTCTGCCAGGAACCTTACCTTTAGGGTTGCAAATCATTACCAAGGCTGACGTTGGGCAATATTGTCAGCTTTTAGAGACCTCAAGGAATTAATATTGTATCTGTTCTGTTAGTTACTGGATGTGTGGATAATTGAACTTCAGTAAGACCAGGAAATCCAGAATGGGGCTGTTTTGAAGGGGTTAGAGCATGTTAGTGCAAATTCCCAAGCCCCCCCCTCCCTGTTTTCTGAAAGTGAAATACTTGTATGAATAAAATAAAAGTTTAATTGGGTGTTCTGCATAAAATGCCCTGTTGTTGACTTTGTGTATTTAGAGAGAACCTGGGGGTATAGAAAGTGTGAGATAATCTTATATATTGATAAGAGTAGCTAGAATATTATCTAGATCGCATTTCCTTGTGTTAATGAAATAACTAGACAGCAGGGCAATGCCTGAAGGCCATCTTGGAATATATTTCTAAGAGAAGCTGAAAGGTTCAGAAGTGGGTGGGTAGGAGCCCTGCATGCCCACTGTGGAAGGCCAGGAGAAGGGCCCGTGGAAAGGTGATGGTAATTCCTGATTCTAGTTTTGTTCTTTATTTTTCTTGGGGTGCACATTTTCCTCCACAAATGGAACAATTCTTCCATTCTTTTCATTCCAGTAGCCACTTCACCATCTTCACCTCAGCCAGCAGAAACCCACCCTATGACACTGCTGGGAGCAACAAGGACACAACCCACCAGCTCACCATTGTACTCTTACACAACAGGTAACTGCGTTCTCTTTCCTGAACAGCTGGGATCATTCAAACCTTGATAACCATTGACTTTGTTGAGAGCGCATGCTCTGGAATATGACTGATCTGACTTGAGTGCCAACATCAGCCACACAGCCGGGTCATTTGACTTGTACAAATATCTACCCTTTCTGAATGCTTTGTCATTTGTGTGTGCGGTTTTCTTTTTTTTTTTTTCCCCTGAGATGGAGTCTCGCATTGTTGCCCAGGCTGAAGTGCAATGGCGCGATCTCGGCTCACTGCAAGCTCCGCCTCCCGGGTTCACGCCATTCTCCTGCCTCAGGCTCCCGAGTAGCTGTAATTTTTTGTATTTTTAGTAGAGACGGAGTTTCACCATGTTAGTCAGGATAGTCTCGATATCCTGACCTCGTGATCCACCCGCCTCCACGTCCCAAAGTGCTGGGATTACAAGCGTGAGCCACCGCACCCTGCCTTTTTCTTTTTTTTTTTGAGACTGAGTCTCGCTCTGTCGCCCAGACTGGAGTGCGGTGGAGCCATCTCGGTTCACTGCAATCTCCGCCTCCTGAGTTCAACCCATTCTCCTGCTTCAGCCTCCGGAGTAGCTGGGATTACAGGTATGCACCACCATGTCCGGCTAATTTTGTATTTTCAGGAGAGAGGGGGTTTCACCATGTTGACCAGGCTGGTCTCAAACTCCCCAGCTCAAGAAACCCGCCTGCCTTGTCCTCCTAAAGTGCTGGTATTATAGGCATGAGCCACCGTGCCCAGGTGTTTTGTCATTTGTAAAAAGGATGTAATACCATGATCTTGCAGAATGCTTGTGAGAATCAAATGGGATGAAAGATTTGGGACATTGTTACAGGGGGTAAGTGATAAATCTAATAGCAGCTATTATTATTATTCCTTAGAACATCAAGAATCCAAATGCCTGACTGGCACAGGCAGCTTATGTGATTTGGAAACATCCACAGGCATATTACTTTGTTTTTAGAAATCAGATCAACCAGTCTTGAATCTGAACATATTATTTTGACTTGATTCCTTGGGCCAGGGCCTTAAAACAATTAGATCCAGCCCTCTGGTGTTTAGCTCAAACACCAGACCCTATGCTTCTGACAAGTCCCAGACCTTAAAAAGTACCAGGAGGCTTCCACTGACTCATCAGATTTCTATTTACATGAGCATTCTCAGATGGTGCTATGATTTGAAAGTTTGTGTCCTCGCTATTAAGGGAAAACTCCCAAACTGGGTTTTCTCTCTGTTCTCACACCACCTCAACGACAATCATCAACTCAGATGAAGACTTCCGTGACTGAATGTGGGGAGTTTTTTCCCCATACACTAAGCAGTGGACACCGGCTGTGTGTTCAATTCAATTGTCACACTATCTACCTGGAGAGAGGGTCAGATCCCACAGGTTAGGGGCTCAGTCCCCAAGACTGCCCCTCCCACCCCCACCACACACACCAGTTACAAGTTTGGGCCTCTGAAACTTCTGACCTCGTTTCAAGTTGGGGTTCCCACAACCCTCTCTTTGGGTTCTATTAATTTCCTGGAGTGGCTTCCAGAACTCAGGGAAACACTTACGTTTACCAGATTATTGTAAAGGATACAGATGATGAGATGCACAGGACGAGGTATATGGGAAAGGGTTCCATGCCCTTCCTTGGGAACTCTACCTTCTAGTAACCTCCAAGTGTTTAGCTATCTGGAAGCTCTCCAAACCTAGTCTTCTTTTATCTTTCTTTTTTTCGAGACGGAGTCTTGCTCTGTCATCACCCAGGCTGGAGTGCAGTGGTACGATCTCGGCTCACCGCAACCTCTGCTCCCAAGTTCAAGCGATTCTCCTGCTTCAGCCTTCCAAGTAGCTGGTATTACTGGCATGCACCATCAAGCCTGGCTAATTTTTTTTTTTCTTTGTATTTTTAATAGAGATGGGGTTTCATCATGTTGTCCAGGCTGGTCTTGAACTCCTGACCTCAGGTGATCCACCCACCTCAGCCTCCCAAAGTGCTGAGATTACAGGTGTGAACCACCACACCCAGCCCTTTTGGGTTTTTATGGAAACTTCAAGACATCAACATTCCATCCCCCAGGGGCACAGGGACGGACTCTCTCTGGGAAGTGTCTTATGATCCACAATCAGAAAGGCAGGGGAAATTAAAGTTGTGCCTTGTCAGGTGAAAGGAGAGCGGGAGAAAGTCAAAGATTGTTTCCTAAGGTCAAACATACTTATTATAACAAAAGACTATAATTAGGGATATGGGAGTTATGAGCCAGGAACCATGCACGGACACCTATCTATCTATATATAATCTCATAACACCACACCCCTAAATTCATGTTGATAGCTAATTCCCAATGCAAGTCTTAAGAACTGGGGCCTTCGGAGCATGATTAGGTCATAAGAGCCCTGCCTTCATGAATGGAATCAATGCTCTTATAAAAGGCCGAAGGTACATTTTCTTGATGGTAGAGAAACAATAAATTAATTAATTAAACAAAAGGAGGCCCAAGGGAGCTTGTTTGCTCCTTCCCCCATATGAGAACAAATAGAAGACACCGTCCACAGGGAAGAGGACCCTCACTAGATTGAGTAATCAGCCTGTGCCTTGATCTTGGACTACCCAGCCTCCAGAACTGTAAGCAATACATTTCTGTTTAAATTACCCAATCTAAGCTATCTTATCATAGCAGCCTGAACAGACTCAGACAGATGGGTTGAGGACACCGACACCAACATCAGAGAGGTATGCCCCTCTGAGATCCTGCTACTCTGCTCCAAGCAATCCTTACTATTCTTCCAAGTCTGAACAGGCCTCTTAGAGTCTCTGCTCCTTGGAAGTGTAGAATTGACCTGTCTTTCCCTGTAATGGAGAAAGGTGATGCTGAAACCTGTCATCTTTCCCAGCTAACTCTCCTTGTTCCCCTTAGTGGTAAGTTCTGGGAGTGCCCTGTGCTGAGTGCCTCTGTGATGCTGAGCTGGCTCTGTGTCCTTGTGTGGCATCCAAGCAAGGTCATGCCTTGCAGGCCTCCTTGTGTGTATGACTCATTGTACTCAGCAGTTGCCAATCTGTAGGCAGCTGCTCCCCAGCCTGCATGGCCTACCTTTTTTGCCAATCATTCCTGGTAGCTGGTTAATTTAAAATGGACCTGCAGTGTGATTCACATAGGGACTCATTCAGTTGGGATTAGATAATGGTGACATTGCGTTTTGAAAGTGTAATCCTTAGCGCAAACTGTTTCCAGGCACAAAAACAAAATGAAAATAGATAAAAACACAAGGTAACAGCAGTAGGAGCAACTGCACCCCACTCTTTGAGAGTGTAAGGAGGAAAAAAGTAGGAGTGGGGAATCATTCTCTGAAATACCATGTCAGCGAAACCTGGTCAAGGTAGAGTTTTCCAGGGTGGAACAGACAGTGGAGCAGCTGTATCCCCAGGATTTGTGTGGCTGCTGCCATTTTGGCTGTGTATCCAAGGCTCATGGGCCAAGTTCTTACTGTGCCTGAGTTGGCCTTCAGTTGCCTAAAGCCTCATGGAAGCAAGGAATATTAGGTCTGGAAAGGATTGGAGCTGTCATATGGCCCACTACCCACCTTTGACAGATGGATGTGCCAGGAAATGGATATATTATCTTGTTTAATTCTTTCAAGGCAGGCCATATTTAATGCTATTGCCAGATTGAGGAGGCCCTATAAATCTGCTTTGGAGACACACAACTCCCATTGCAGCTATGAGTTACTAGTTTTGTGCCCACAGGAAAATTGTTGAACATTCCTCTTTGGATGATTAGAGAGTATATGATATTTGGAAATTGCATTGCATAATATCTATCCCTCCCCTCTTCCCACTCCTCTTCCCATTATATAATAATAATAGCTTAGTGCCAACCACTTTACATGCATCATCTAATTTAATTGTAACAACTTGATGGGCTGTGTACTATTAATAGGTTGTAGTTCATGCGTACTCTAGCTAGAAATATATATATAGTAGTTTTCCCCTTATCTGCAGTTTTGCTTTTCTGTAGCAGTCAACCATGTTCCTAAAATACTAAGATATTTTGAGAGCGACTAAATTCCCATAGATTTTATTACAGTTTATTTCTATAATTGTTCTATTATATTATTTATTTGTTGTTAATCTCTTTCTGTGCCTAATTTGTAAATTGAACTTTATCATAGGTATGTATATATAGGAAAAACATGGTATCTGTAGGGTTTGGTACTATTCTTGGTTTCATGCATCTACTTGAGGGTCTTGGAACATATGCCCTGTGGGTAAGGGGGCACTACTGTATACACACATACACACACATCCCTTTATATACCTATACATACATACATACATACCTGTGTGTATGAAAAGGACTTTGAGTATCAAAGTTACATTGCTAACAGACATTGTCAGCATTGAACTCAAATTTTATCTGACTCCAGTCCATGCTGTTTTTCTGCATCACCCCATCCTCTTCCTGAAACTGTTACTTAAGGTCATAATACCTGTCACAAACAGAGCTGAGATTCTATATATTGCATAAACCTACATCTGTCTCTCTTTCCCTTTCCTTTCCTTGTCTTTCCTTTCCTTTCCTTTCCTTTCTTTTCCTTTCCTTTTGTTTCCTTTCTGTGGGGAAAAGAAAGAGATCAGCCTGTTACTGTGTCTATATAGAAAGAAGTAGACATAAGAGACTCCATTTTGTTCTGTATTTGAGATGCTGTTAATCTGTGACCCTACCCCCAACCTTGTCCTTGCAAGAGACATGTGCTGTGGTAACTCAAGGTTTAATGGATTTTGGGCGTGCAGGGTGTGTCTTTGTTCCTAGAAAAGCTAGGTATTGTCCAAGGTTTATCCCCATGTGATAGGATGAAACAATGTTGCTAAAAGGTTTATCTCAAGGCACAGGATTTTCCTTTAAACTTATTCATGTCACAGAGATCCTTGTTCTTATGTCTTACTGCTAATTTCCTCCCTAAAAATGATCCTATTGTCCTGCCACTCCCTTATCTTTAAGATGGTAAAGATAATTATCTATAAATACTAAGGGAACTCAGAGGCCGGTGCCGGCGTGGGTCCTCTGTAAGCTGAGCGCCGGTCCCCTGGGCCCCCGCTTTTCTTTCTCTATACTTTGTCTCTGTGTCTTATTTCTTTTCTCAAGTCTCTCGTTCCACCTAACGAGAAACACCAACAGGTGTGGAGGGGCAGGCCACCCCTTCACCTTTCCTTTCCTTTCCTTCCTTCTTTCTTTCCTTCTGTCTTTCTTTCCTTCTTTCTTTCTCAGTCTCGCTCTGTTGCCCAGGCTGACGTGCAGTGGCATAATCTTGGCTCACTGCAATCTCCACCCCCTGAGTTCAAGCAATTCTTGTGTCTCAGCCTCCCACGTAGCTGGAATTACAGACGTGCACCATCACGCTGGCTACTTTTTTATATTTTTAGTAGAGATGGGGTTTCACCATGTTGGCCAGGCTGGTCTTGAACTCCTGACCTCAAGTGATCTGCCTGCCTCCGCCTCCCTAAGTGCGGGGATTACAGGCCTCAGCCACTGAGCCTGGCCTTGCCTTTGGCTTCCTAGGAAGCCTCAGAAGCAGTAAAATGTAAACACAGTAATGTAAATTTTGGGGAGATATTAGTCCAAGTTTATTCATGTATAACTATAGCATTGTCACCAGTTACAGAATTTCATAGACCTAAGTATTTCCATTTGATGGAAGTGCAATGTGTGTGTAGGTTATCAGCAGAGGCTCTTGTCACTTAATTAGAAATCATCATTTAACCATTTCCTGTGTGTTTCTTCACCCATAAAAATGGGATTAAGGAACTAACTGGCTGGTAGAATGTAAAGTGTTCGCTACATGGTATATGCTCAGTAAGAAGACAGTTCTGAATTTGACCTATAGTTGTCTAGGAAGGCCAACAGAATATACTCTTTTTCTGAGACAGGGTCTCACTCTGTTGCCCAGCCTGGAGTGCAGTGGTGCCATCTCGGTTCACTGAAACCTCTGCCTCCGAGATTCAGGGATTCTCCTACCTCAGCCATCTGAGTAGCTGGGTCTACAGGCATGTGCCACCATGCCTGGCTAAGTTTTTGTATTTTTTGGTAGAGATGGGGTTTCACCATGTTGGCCAGGCTGGTCTTGATCTCCTGACCTCAAGTGATCTGCCTGCCTTGGACTCCCAAAGGACTTGGGTTTATAGGCATGAACCACCCGTGCCTGGCTGAGAATGTACTGTCTATTACAAAGCAGATATTTTAAAACATGTTGAAATTTTTAAATGTTCAACTCTAGGAGAAATGTATCTTATATATTACATAAAATCTTAATCCTCATATGGCATAATATGCATTGATCTGGTGGCTGATATACTTTCGAAAGCACTTCTAGATCAAAGCATAAGCACATTGGCAATAGCACAAGAGTTATATGCCACCTGTTTTTGATATTATGGCATATTTTACTCATTCTGAACATAAAACCAATATGATGTCCATTCTGATGAGGGTGGTTCTGGTTTTGGATGTACATGCCTCTGACCATTCATTTACAGCTATTTAGATAGCATAAAAGTATTGATTGCCTTTAAATGGCATTCTTAACCTGGTTCCATGAATGGGCTTCTGTGATTACCCTAAAATAGTAGATACAATTCGTGTACACATGCATTATTTTTTTAATAAAGAAAGAAAAAAGAGTCAATTTTCAAAGAGCCTGTGACAGAAAAGTTAAGAAATACAACTTTCCAGGAGAAATTAATACAACATTAATAACTTGGTATGACTGTTGAAATGCCTGTAGCATTTGATCATATTATCATTCAACTTTTCATCACCAGAAGGCAATGTGAATATATTTAGTGTCTGCAGTGAAAATTCAATATTTTTTGTAATTCTAATTAAATTTCCTTCTTGTTGAGTAGATGGGAGTGACACCGTGACAGAGTCTTCAGATGGCCTTTGGAATAACAATCAAACTGTAAGCATATTCGCCCCTATTTGATTAGCCAGATTCAGTTGTATATCTCCCTGGAAGCAAGTTACATTTAAAGACTATTTCTATAAGACTAACCCACAGATTTTTTTTTTCTTATTAAAAAAAAGGCGAAGAAAATAATTTGACTCTTAAATAGGATGCTTTAATTTGAAAAGTTCATTTAGGTGACCCAGTTTGTTAGGGATGCCCAAAGAGCCATATGTTACTGAATAGCGTACTTAGATACATAATACGTACACTTTCTGCTGGGCAAAAATAGGGGAAGAAAGAATTTTTTGAGACAGAGCATCACTGTCTCCTAGGCTGGAGTGCAGTGGCGCGATCTCGGCTCACTGCAACCTCCGCCTCCTGGGTTCAAGCAATTCTCCTGCCTCGGCCTCCCGAGTAGCTGGGACTACAGGCGCACACCACCACGCCCGGCTAATTTTTGTATTTTTAGTAGAGATGGGGTTTCACCATGTTGGCCGGGCTGCTCTCAAACTCCTGACCTCAGGCAATCTACCTATCTCGGCCTCCCAAAGTGCTGGGATTACAGGCATGAGCCACCATGCCGGGCCGAATGAGCTAATTTAAGGAGAACAAGTTAAGATAACACACCAAGGAGGAATTCAGTTATCAATAGGGAAACAGCATGCTTTGATGGGGTGGAGTAGAGGCCACCCCAAACAAAAGTAAAATGTAAGTGAAACTAACATGTTTATTCCCTAATATATTTCCCCTACCTAATGACTATTTTATGTAGAAATTTTAAAACTTCTATTGATTTTTTTCTATACAAAAACCTCCCCATGGGATGACTTCTTTCTTTCTTTCTTTCTCTCTTTCTTTCTTTCTTTCTTTCTTTCTTTCTTTCTTTCGATTGATTTTTTTCTATACAAAAACCTCCCCATGGGATGACTTCTTTCTTTCTTTCTTTCTTTCGAGACAGAGTCTTGCTCTGTCACCCAGGCTGGAGTGCATTGGCGCCATCCCAGCTCACTGCAACCTCCTCCTCTTGGGTGCAAGTGATTCTCCTGCCTCAGCCTTCCAAGTAGCTGGGATTACAGGCGCCCACCATCATATCTGGCTAATTTTTGTGTTTTTAGTAGAGATAAGGTTTCGCCATGTTGACCAGGCTGGTCTTGAACTTCTGATCTCAAGTGATCCTCCCTCCTCGGCCTCCCACAAGTGCTGGGATTACAGGCGTGAGCCACCATGCCCGGCCCAGGATAACTTTTTAAGATAACAAAGTTCTAAATAATAACTTTGATTCTGTAAAATGTTCCCATACTTTTTTTCTCAGTGAACTTGAGAAAAATTTAAGGGATCTAGTCTTATGACGCTCATCAATGTCTTCTGCGTCCATGTAAGTTAGATTTATTAATGAGATCTTTTCTTTTGGCTCCTGTAAGAAACAACCTGCCTTTTAATTGGTGCAAGTAACTTTTTGAAGCAACAAACAAAAAAAGCCTGAGGTTATGAGAATAATCCTTCTGAGGTTTTTTTTTTGAGACAGGGTTTCACTTTCATCACCCAAGCTGGAGTGCAGTTTCTCAGTCTCAGCTTACTGCAACCTCCACCTCCCATGTTCAAGTGATTCTTGTGCCTCAGCCTCCCAAGTAGCTTGGGTTACAGGCACGCACCACCACACCCAACTAATTTTTGTATTTTTAGTAGAGATGGAGTTTCACCATATTGGCCAGGCTGGTCTCAAACTCCTGACCTCAAGTGATCTGCCTGCCTCGGCCTCCCAAAGTGCTGGGATTACAGGCATGAGCCACCGCACCTGGCCCGAGAATAATCTTTCCGAAAGCCAGTTGTAAGAAATGACAGCATGGTCATTGTATAAAAAATTCAAAATGATCAAAGCGGGGCTATTTAGTGTAGAGCCAAATGACCTTATGCTATATACCTTAGTGACATTGTGAATGCCACTACATAGGAGTAACATTTAAAAATTTAGCAACTTGTATGGCATGCACTGATTGATCCGACCTACTGGCGAAATATCAGAACTGCCACGATGTACATGTTTAATGTGTTGACATATGGCTAGACTTGTGCTGGATTTAAAAAACCCCTCAGAATAGTGGGGTTATTCTTGGTCTCAGTTACCTACAGAATAGGGCTGTTTAGAAGCAAGGGAAAACAATTGAGAGGCAGGTTCAAGGTTGGCAGTGGCAGAAACTTGGGCTTTCTGTGCCTTGACTGAAGATGTCAAGATGTCTTCTCCCAGGTATCTTGAAAACACGCAGAATACATTTTGGCCCAGTAGGTCATCTTCCTGGGTCTGTCTTAAGGAAAACATTGAACTAATATATAAAAATGTATGAGGAGAATGTTCATTGTTAATATTTATAATCATGAAAATATTATAAACAACCTAAACGTTTCATAGTAAGAGATTACTTAGTTAAGCACGTCCATGTATTGGCATAAAGAATGTAGTCATTGGCAGGGCACGGTGACTCACGCCTGTAATTCCAGCACTTTGGGAGGCTGAGGCAGGTGGATCACCTGAGGTCAGGAGTTCCAGACCAGCCTGACCAACATGGTGAAACCTCATCTCTACTAAAAATAGAAAAATTAGCTGGGTGTGGTGGCAGGCGCCTGTAATCCCAGCTACTTGGGAGACTGAGGCAGGAGAATCACTTCAACCTGGGAGATGGAGATTGCAGTGAGCCGAGATCACACCACTGCACTCCAGCCTGGGTGACAGAGCATAAGAATGTAGTCATTGCAGTGCATTTACTGACATAGGTTATAGCATGTTATATTATGTTGGTTATAACACATTATTAAATGAAAGAAGCAACTTTTAAAATAGGATACAATTATGATATACTAATTCATATAGAATATAGTAATTATTTCTGTTAAGAAAAAATCCTAGAAGGATAAAATTCTAGAAAAGTATATAAAGCAAAATGGCAAAAGTGCTCATTTCTGGATGTTAAAGTTATGGTTTATTTATTTATTCGAGACAGAGTCTCACTCCATTGCCCAGGCTGGAGTGCAGTGGCACAATCACAGCTCACTGCAGACTCATCCTCCCAGGCTCAAGTGATCCTCCCACCCCAAGCCTCCCAAGTAGCTGGGACCACAGGCACGCATCACCACGCCTGGCTAATTTTATTTTTTTCTGGAGACAGGAGCTCACCAAACTGGTCTCAAACTCCTGGGCTCAGGCTATCTTCCTGCCTTAGCCTCCCAAAGTGCTGGGATTATGGGTGTGAGCCACTGTCCCTGACCTGGTTATGGTTTTCTTAGTTTTCTTTTTTTATGCTTAGCTGTACATTCTAAAATGAGCATGCAGTATTTGTGTATTGTAATTAAAAACTGAAAGCAAATCCTGCCTCCTGAAACCCCATTCTCCATCTACCCACATTACATTTCCCTCCCACCCCATAGGTAAAGTAATAACAACGCAGTTTTGCACTCCCAGACACTGGCTATGCCACTTCTTAGCAAGCATGGCTCAAATGCTGTTACTCCACTATATTCATAGTGTTTACCAGGAAGTACCTAAAAGTACCCTTGCAAAGAACCCTATTGAATCTATTGTTGCTAGATATAGAAATAGGTCCAGAGAGGCTAAACAGCTTGTCCATGGACACATAGTGACTAAGTAGAGGACCTGGGATTCTTTTTGTTGTTGTTGTTGAGACGGAGTCTCGCTCTGTCGCCCAGGCTGGAGTACAGTGGCCGTCTTGGCTCACTGCAAGCTCTGCTTCCCAGGTTCACGCCATTCTCCTGCTTCAGCTGCCCAAGTAGCTGGGACTACAGGCGCCCGCCACCATGCCCAGCTAATTTTTTATATTTTTAGTAGAGACGGGGTTTCACCATGTTAGCTAAGATGGTCTCGATCTCCTGACCTTGTGATCCGCCCACCTCGGCCTCCTAAAGTGCTGGGATTACAGGCATGAGCCACCGTGCCTGGCCAAGACCTGGGATTTTAACTCCAGAGATTAAGCTTTTAGAAATGAGAAGACTTGGCCTTCACTCAGATTCTCCCCTTTCCTTCTATTAAAATACCTACCCGGTGGACTCTCTTTAGGATTAGAACTAAGCCATGAAAGGAGGACTAGCATGACACCTGGCACATTTCAGGCCTATTCCAGGAGGTAATGATCTCTTGTGATAGGCACCAGAAGACTTAGACAATTCTACATTTCTGCATGATTGTATAGCATTGAATTGTTAATCATAGCCATGTCTGCGTGCACCTACTCTCAAATCTATTTATATAGATAGAGACAGAATCTTCAATTGCAGGTAAAAAGACAAGGAAGGACTGTAATCAAGGACAAAATTCAATAACTGAGCACATTAAGATAACATCACATCAAGTCAATTTATAGAAACAAAATTTTCTTTTTCTTTTTTCTTTTTTTTTGAGATGGAGTCTCACTCTGTTGCCCAGGCTGGAGTGCAGTGGCGAAATCTTGGCTCACTGCAACCTCTGCCTCCTGGGTTCAAGCAATTTTTCCTGCCTCAGCCTCCCAAGTAGCTGGGATTACAGGCATGCACCACCACGCCCAGCTAATTTTTGTATTTTTAGTAGAGATGGGGTTTCACCATGTTGCCAAGGCTGGTCTCGAACACCTGACCTCAGGTGATCCACCTGCCTGGGCTCCCAAAGTGCTGGGATTACAGACATGAGCCACCACGCCCGACATTTTTTCTTTTTAATATCACAAGAGGATGTATTTATGGATATAACTTATTGACTTTCAAAACAGTAAATTAAAAAATTTACATACAAACCCATTTCAAGCATACAGTTTTAGTTTTGACAAATTTGTGCACCTATGTAAATATGACCTCAAGCAAGCTAGAAAACACCCCCATCATTGTAAAATATGTTTTGAATTTCAAATTGTCCTAGATTTTCACCATAGGGTTATAAACTCAGATCATTTGATCTTACCCTTATGTTCCAGAAGTCCCCAAGCACCAATACAGGTAAATACGGCTGGGTAAGTGATTCTGGGAAACGTTTTCTCTTCATAACTTTCTAACAAGATGCTTTTTTGATCTGTTGTTGTTTCCTTAGCAGTTGTCCCCAGAACATAGTCCACAGATGGTCAACACCACTGAAGGAATCTATGCTGGAGTCTGTATTTCTGTCTTGGTGCTTCTTGCTGTTTTGGGTGTCGTCATTGCCAAAAGTAAGTCATTTCAAGATTGTTCCTAAGGGACTAGAGCAAGGGATGTACAGCCAATTTGCCTGGGTTCACTAGTTTCATAAGCCACGTGATTTTGACTTCACACGACTTCCCTTTGTCCCCAAATCCTCATTTGTAAAAGGCACATGGTAATACCATCTACCTCAAGGGGGAAGGCAAATGAAGTTTAAATGCATTAGGACCTACAAAGCACTAAGAATGGGAGGTCATATGCCTGTAATCCTAGCTACTTGGGAGGCTGAGTGAGGCAGGAAGATTGGTTGAGCCCAGGAGTTCAAGATTAGCCTGGGCAACATGGTGGGACCCCAACTCGTTAAAAAAACATGAAAAAAAAAAAAAAAACACCACCAGCCAGGACCAGTGGCTCATGTCTGTAATCCCAGCATTTTGGGAGGCTGAGGCAGGAGGATTGCTTGAGCCCAGGAGTTCAAAACCAGCCTGGACAACAGAGTGAGACATTGTCTCTAAAATAAAAGGAAAAGAACAAGAAGAAAAAGCACTGAGAATGGTTCCTGGCACATGACAAGGGCACAGCAATCTTAAACTGTAATCATAGTTAGAAAGATCCTTTTGCCATAAATCTTTATAAATCTCTTGGAACTTACATTCTAGTGGAGTTTTCACTTAAAACCACTATTTTTTAAACTTGTTATTTTTCAATTATTATTCCCCTATGGAAAAAATTTAATTCTATAAGAATTTTTTTGAGACAGAGTTTCTCTCTTGTCTCACAGGCTGTAGTGCAATGGCACGATCTTGGCTCATTGCAACCTCCACCTCCTGCCTCTGCCTCCCAAGTAGTTGGGACTACAGGCGCCTGCCACCACGCCTGGCTAATTTTTTGTATTTTTTAGTAGAGACGGGGTTTCACTGTGTTAGTCACCATGGTCTCGATCTCCTGACCTCGTGATCCGCCCACATCGGCCTCCCAAAGTGCTGTGATTACAGGCATGAGTCACAATGCCAGGCCAAGAAAAATTAAATACAGATGTTCCTAAGTACCATTGGGGGATTGGTTCCAGAGCTCCTCGATTCCAAAATCTGCAGATGCTCAAGTCCCTTATAAAATGGTGTAGTATTTGCACATAGCCTGCTCACTTCCTCCAGTATACTTTAAATCTTTTCTAGATTACTTAGAACACCTAATATGCAAGGTAAATGTCAGGTAAATAGTTGTTATATTGTATTGTTTTTATCTGTATTATTATTGTTGTGTATTATTTTTATTGTTTTTTTTTTTTTTTAATTTTCAATTTGTGAGTAGCTGAAACTGAGGATGCCAAACCTGTGGCTATCGAGGGCCAACTGTATCAAGAAATAGGAGTTTATTGGGTAGTGTTGAGATCTGGAAGTCAACACACCATTGTGATATGTAAGATTTAGTCTCTCCGCCCTACGAGATCTAATTTTTGTCACTGTGGGGGTGATATTGTTAAAATTTTACAACACTTATTTAGCAGAAGAGGCACATGAGACATTGGGTGGGGAAACTGATAGCAAGACAAAGACTAAGAAAGTAAAACAAAAGTTTTCAAAAAGCAACCACTTCGTGTCTTCATGTCTCCCTTCTGCTAATTGTGTGTGTGTGTTTGTCTCAGTATAACCTGCCTCCGGTAAAAGAACCCTAGTTAGCTGTTTTGCAAGATGTGGTATTTGAAGCCATAACTGATCTAGTTCATGGATCTGGGCAGAGGACAATCAGAAAATTAAGAGTATGTTTGACAAATTTGAGGAAGTTTTTACATAATTATTTTGGAGCTTGGGTAGTCAAAGTGATTATTTAGAAATTGGGTAAAATACCTTTCAGGGAAGTTCAAACTTTCCCTCTGAAAGTACTTGAGTACGTACTTGAGTACGCTGAAAAAAATAGATTATTAGGAGATTAACAGGAGAAAAGGAATACGTATTTATTATGTGTACAGAAGCCACACAAAATATGAGATGGAAGAAAGGGCCAGATGACTGGAGCTTAAATACCCTTTTCTTTCCTTATTTTTGAGGCAGAGTCTCTCACTCTGTCACACAGGCTGGAGTGCAGTGGTGTGATCTCAGTTCTGTGGGGGAAAGAAAGAGAGATCAGACTGTTACTGTGTCTATGTAGAAAGAAGAAGACATAAGAAACTCCGTTTTGTTCTGTACTAATAAAAATTCTTCTGCCTTGAGATGCTGTTAATCTGTAACCCTAACCCCAACCCTGTGCTCGCAGAAAGATGTGCTGCGTTGACTCAAGGTTTAATGGATTTAGGGCTGTGCAGGATGTGCTTTGTTAAACATGTGTTTGCAGGCAATATGCTTGGTAAAAGTCATCGCCATTCTCCAGTCTCGAGTACCCAGGGACACAATGCAATGCGGAAGGCCACAGGGACCTCTGCCCAAGAAAGCCTGGGTATTGTCCAAGGTTTCTCCCCACTGAGACAGTCTGAGATACGGCCTCGTGGGAAGGGAAAGACCTGACCGTCCCCCAGCCTGACAACCATAAAGGGTCTGTGCTGAGGAGGATTAGTGGAAGAGGAAGGCCTTTGCATTTGAGATAAGAGGAAGGCATCTGTCTCCTGCTTGTCCCTGGGAATGGAATGTCTCGATGTAAAACCCGATTGTACATTCTGTTTACTGAGATAGGAGAAAACGGCCTTATAGCTGGAGGTGAGACATGCTGGCAATACTGCTCTTTACTGCACTGAGATGCTTGTGTAAAGTCAAACTGGCCTATGTGCACATCAAGGCACAGCACTTTTCCTTAAACTTATTTATGACACAGAGACCTTTGCTCACATGTTTTCCTGCTGACCCTCTCCCCACAATTACCCTATAGTCCTGCCACGTCCCCCTCACTGAGATAGTAGAGATAGTGATCAATAAATTCTGAGAGAACTCAGAGACCAGTGCCAGCGTGTGTCCTCCATATGCTGAGCGCCGGTCCCCTGGGCCCACTGTTCTTTCTCCATACTTTGTGTCTTATTTCTTTTCTCAGTCTCTCATCCCACCTGATGAGAAATACCCACAGGTGTGGAGGGGCTGGCCCCTTTCAAGCTCACTGCAGTCTCTGCCTCCCAGGTTCAAGCAATTCTCCTGCCTCAGCCTCCTGAGTAGCTGGGTTTACTGGCGCATGCCCCCACACCCGGATAATTTTTGTATTTTTAGTAGAGATGGGGTTTCACCATGTTGGTCAGGCTGGTCTTGAACTCCTGACATCGTGATCCACCCGCCTCCACCTCCCAAAGTGCTGGGATTACAGGCATGAGCCACTGCACCCGGCCTTAAATACTCTTGTCTTAGGGGAGAGAAAAGTGATGGATGTGGGCAATTTTAGAGGAAGAGTAAATGATTTTTAGGGGAGATGAATGGGTCCAAAGAACAGACTATAGGGCGGGACAAATTCCTCTGGACTCTGGATGTGTTGTCAGCTCTAGTCTTCTCCCTGTGATATGCATCAATTCCCCGCCCCCATCCCCCCCCAACCCTGCCACCATTGATGAGATATCTGGGGAAAGGATTCACAACAACAGAGTATCTTCTGGAGGATCTGGCCTTTAGCTAGATAGGGGAGCTTCAGAGAAAGCCCTTCCCTGCATATGCTCCTCCCCAGGTACTCTCACTTTGAAGTCCAAAGAAGCCTGTTTGAGGGTTTTGTATTCTGAACCCTAATGACCTCAAAATATGCTTTCCTCCTTAAGCAAAAATAACTCATTATTTCCTTCTTTAGGAGAGAGATGATTGGTAGTACAAACTCTTGCAAAGGTCTCCTTTGATAGAGGTGACTTTTAAAGTATATGGCCTTGTGACCCAGTTCATCTGAAACAAATCTTGGTTGATGCCTGTTGTTCAGCAGCCTATCAGAAGGATCTTGGACTTACTCATTTTTTAAAAATGAAAGATAATTTAAGAAGTGCGTTAAAGTTAGGGAGGAGATGAGGATGAATACACCAAAGCATTAATGAAATTGAGATACTGGATGGTAAAATGGCTTGTTTGGGTCCTACAGAATCAAAAGGGACATGGGAAGGAGATACCTCAAGGTACCAGGGACAAGTCCAAGTAATAACAGAAATAATACACTTGATTGAAAAAATATTATAAACTCTTGCTGAGATGTTTAATTTTCTCTTCAACTCCTCTCTCCCCGCCCCTTTAATTTAGAGTATTTCTTCAAAAAAGAGATTCAACAACTAAGGTAAGCTTGAAAGTATTTCTATCAATACTTTTGAGGTTCCTACTCTGGTAAAATAAAAACAGATTTCTGTCTCTCTCCTAAACTCTCCATCATATACCTTGGATCCTGATGGTCTACTTTAATGAGCAATTCTATTATTTTCACCTTCCAGTGATATTTGTAGCTTTGTGTATTTCCCTGGAGTTGTGACAGAGCTGGTACAGAGGGAGCATCTCAGTCCTAAGCAAACCCCGTAGGGCAAGATAACTAAATTGCAAGATTTGCTCGACGGGACTAAACATTGAATGAGTTGTTGCTTTAGTTTGCTCTTTTATTTCGTTTAATGCTTTGTCTTTTTTTTTTTTTTTTTTTTGAGACCAAGTTTCGGTCTTGTTGCCCAGGCTGGAGTGCAATGGCACCATCTTGGCTCACCACAACCTCTGCCTCCCGGGTTCAAGTGATTCTCCTGCCTCAGTCTCCCGAGTAGCTGGGATTACAGGCATGTACCACCACACCCGGCTAATTTTGTATTTTTAGTAGAGACGGGGTTTCTCCATGTTGGTCTCAAACTCCTGACCTCTGGTGATCTGCCTGCCTCGGCCTCCCAAAGTGCTGGGATTACAGGCATGAGCCACTGCACCGAGCCATTTTTTCGTATTTTTAATAGAGATGGGGTTTCACCATATTCAATGCTTTGTCTTACTGAGTGTTTATTGACTATTATATAACAAAAAGATGAATAAAACAGACAAAAACCATGTAAGCAAATAAGCATGGTTCTTTTATGTCCTTACAGATAAACAGCATGGGGACTATAGAACAGGATGAGGGTCTGTTTGAGCACCAGGAAAGCAGCTAATTTGGAGGAGGATAACTCCTGGCTGCAGGAGCAGTGAGTGCAAAGGTACTGAGGTAGGGCAAGTGCCTCCAGTTTTCTACAGCTTCCATCATTCCCTGCTGCTCCCTACCCAGCCTGCTCCACTGATCTATATTAGCTGTCTAGCCTTGCAGGCTCTTGAATTTGCTTTGAAAGACCTTTCAGTCTATCCTGCTGCCCAGTTACTTTTTTTTTTTTTTTTTTTTTTTTTTTTGAGACGCCCAGGCTGGAGTGCAATGGTGCGATCTGCAACCTCCACTTCTTGAATTTAAGCAATTCTCCAGCCTTAGCCTGCTGAGTAGCTGGGATCACAGGCACCTGCCACCATGCCCGGCTAATTTTTGTATTTTTAGTAGAGACGGGGTTTTGCCATGTTAGTCAGGCTGGTCTCGAACTCCTCACCCCAGGTGACCTGCTTACCTTGGCCTCCCAAAGTGCTGGGATTACAGGAGTGAGCCACTGCGCCTGGTGCCAGTTGCAATTTAAATACCCTTTACTGCATCTATGCCCCGAGGCCATCTGCCCCATTGCCTGTAATGGTAGGAGACAACTACCTAGTTCTAAAGCCATCCAGCCTGCTTCATTTGATACAGGTTGAGTTTTAAGCAAGGACTTTCTTTAATTCAGAATCCCATCCCTCTTACTTAGGCTTCCATCTATTAAGCCTAGGTCTCCTTCACTGGATGCTTGTACACAGACTCCTGAGTCTGAGTTAATTACCCAAGCCAATCCACAGAACCTGTCTGAACAGTGACCAGCATATTGTAAGTGCTTAATATACATCGACTTTTGTTATTGCAATCAAGCCCTTTACAGCAATAAACTGTGAGAGAGGCACTATTCTCATTTTACAGATTGGAAAACAGTTTCAGAAATGTTGAGTGACATCTAAGGTCACATCACATAGCATATAAAGGACTCAATCTCAGGAATCCGTGCTCATAAATATTTCTGGAATGACAGAGAAATGTGTAAAGTATAAAAAAAGCAAAAAAAAAAAAAAAAACCACACTAACAAATTATGAACATTTCCTCATAACATTATCTTCTTGGCAGCTCTATCACACTGAGTCATTTGAGCTCATTGACACTTAAACTAAGTGTCTTCACACATGGATGACTGACCTGTTGAGGGACCACCGTGGAGCTTCGTTTTTCATGGTTCTTTAAATGTGTGGACATGTGTTTCATCTGCAGCTGAATGAAGACAAGGTCCATACTTTGGGGGCAGGCTTTGTTAACAAATAGTCACTATATACAAATATATTATATAAAAATAAGCAGTTACATCAAATGCTACACATAAGTTAAAATTAAGTCCACCTTCATCCCTCACTTGTATTTCCACTCTTTCTACTGATTTCTTTTTTTGAGACAGAGTCTCATTCTGTTGCCCAGGCTGGAGTGCAGTGGTGTGATCTCGGCTCACTGCAACCTCCACCTCCCAGGTTTAAGTGATTCTCCTGTCTCAGCCTCCCGAGTAGCCAGGATTATAGGCACAAGCCACCACATCTGGCTAATTAAAAAAAATTTTCGTAGAGATGGGGCCTCGCTATGTTGCTCACGCTGGCCTCAAGCTCCTGGCCTCAAGGGATCCTCCTGCCATGGCCTCCCAAAGTGCTGGGATTAGAGGCATGAGCTACTGCACCCAGCACAGGAAGATTTTTAACACTATGATCCAGTGTACACTTGTGAAACAGTACAATTTAACTATATGCAATGTTTCTCTATTCTGTTTTTATCTTGAATATAGGATGTAGATTGCTAAGTAGATTTAACAACCCTCTCTAAAGGATCACAAGCCATAATTGGAAAAACACCAGTCACCCAATTCTTAGCCACATTTGAAAATGTGCATCTTGATTCAGCCACTTAGTTTGATGTCACAGCTCTGTATTTTTAGATTTTCCATTTTTGTATTCTATTATGTGAGTTTCAAAGAGACCAGTCTGAGTTTTTCAATACTTCTTAGGTTGCCTATCTAGCTGCTTATTAAACAGACTTTTCTTCAACTTAATAAGAGCCCCACTTTTTACAACTCTAGAAAAGCACTATTTATTTTATTCTTTGTGTGAACCGGGCTCCTATAGTCTCGAATACCTGATATTGCCTGATCATAAACAAAAGTGCAGCTCATATGTGAGAAGTGGTCTGCTTTTTTTTTTCTTACTCATGTTATTCTTCAACAACTCTTTCTACAGTGTTTCATTTAGCAGCCATCGAATTAAAACTTTGCAAAATGCAGTTAAAAAGGAAGTCCACGCAGAAGACAATATCTACATTGAGAATAATCTTTATGCCATGAACCAAGACCCAGTGGTGCTCTTTGAGAGTTTACGCCCATGACTGCAGAAGACTGAACATATCAGACGTCTTTTAGACTCCAAGACAATTTTTCTGTTTCAGTTTCATCTGGCATTCCAACACGTCAGTGACACTGGGTAGAGTAACTCTCTCGTTCCAAACTGTGTATAGTCAGCCTTATCATTAATGTAGTCCTAATTTTTTGTGCTAAAACAGGCTCAATCAATCCTTCTGATCATTGTAGAGTTCTCTGTCAAACATGAACACTTTAGAATTGTATGTTCTCTTTAGACCCCATAAATCCTGTATCCATCAGAGAGAATAGTCACTGGAAACATAGCAAATGAACTTCTATCTTGGCCATCAGAGCTGTGCAGAAGAGGGAAATCTGTCTTAAAAATCAGCAAATCCAGTGTGATACTTCATTTGGAAGCATTACATGATAATCTCTTGTTTCTATATTATACTTCCAAATGTTGCATTTCCTGTGTTTTCCAAAGGTTTCAAATCATGGGTTTTAATTTCCTCCATGGGGAAATAAAGTGAGTTTAATTCACCCTAACAGGTATGGCTGTTTTTTCATGACTCTGGAAATGTGATGCATTAAGTACTGGATCTCTGAATTGGGGTAGCTATTTTACCAGTTAAAAGAGGCGACAATAGTATGGAACACGTAGATACCAGGGAAAGAAAATCATTTGCCAGGTGATTCAACACATTTATGCAATTTTTTTTTTTTTTTTTTTTTTTAGATGAAGCTTTGCTCTTGTTGCCCAGGCTGCAGTGCAATGGCGAAATCTTGGCTCACTGTAACGTCCATCTCCCGGGTTCAAGCGATTCTCTTGCCTCAGCCTCACAAGTAGCTGGGATTATAGGTGTCTGCCACTATGCTCAACTAATTTTTTGTATTTTTTTTAGTAGAGACAGGGTTTCACCATGTTGGCCAGAATGATCTCGAACTCCTGACCTCAGGCGATCCAGCCGCCTTGGCCTTCCAAAGTGCTGGGATTACAGGCATGAGCCACCATGCCCAGCCCATTTATGCAATTTTTATCACATGTGCGTCACGGTGCTAAGCATTTAAACAACCACCAGGCTTTCTGAACAAATTTTTAGAACCAAGAAGGTCAGAAATAAAAGCAAAAAAAAAAAAAAAAAAGGCTGGAGTGGGGAAAGGGCTGCCTTTTCTGCCTTACAAGTTACATTGCAGATACAAGTGTTTGAAACCCTCTAGTTTTGACCCAAATTTTAAATTGTCTCCAAACCACTTTTATGTTTAAAATTGTTTTGGAGGCTAGTGCCGTGGCTCATTCCTATAATCCCAGCACTTTGGGAAGCCAAGGTGGGCAGATAGCTTGAGCCCAGAAGTTTGAGACCGGCCTGGGCAACATGGCAAGACCCCCTCTCTATTAAGAAAAAAATTTAAGAAAAAAAAAAAAGATAAAATTGTTTTGGAAAGGCAAAGTGTCTTTCTCATATCTAATCAATTCCTGTATTTTTTTTTTTTTTGACAATTCAGTTAGGCTTATTGTAATGATATCTTTAGTCAATATAAAAAACAATATAAAAAAACAATTATACTAAACCAGTATAATTGTTTAGAAGTATATATTTGCCGGCCAGGCACGGTAGCTCACACCTGTAATCCCAACACTTTGGAAGGCTGAGGCAGGTGGATCACCAGAGGATGGGAGTTCGAGACCAGCCTGACCAACATGGAGAAACCCCATCTCTACTAGAAATACAAAATTAGCCGGGCACGGTGGTGCATGCCTGTAATCACAGCTACTTGGGAGGCTGAGGCAGGAGAATCACTTGAACACGGGAGGTGGAGGTTGTGGTGAACTGAGGTAGTGCCACTGCATCCAACCTGGGCAACAGGAGCAAAACTCCATCTTAAAACAAAACAAAACAAAACAAAACAAAAGTATAGATTTGCAAGGGCTAGATTTGTCAGAAAAAAAATATTTCTACGTGAATAGTTAAGGCTGGGTATTAATTTCAATTTCAGTTTGAGTAAACTCTGAAATAATTCGTGGTTGAGGTTCAGAGCTACCCATACCATAGTTGTCTGGGACAACAGGATGCTTGCTTTCAGAGGAAACTTTTTGTTTCTGTTTTTTTGAGATGGAGTTTTTTCCTTGTCACCCAGGCTGAAATGCAATGGTGCAATCTTAGCTCACTGCAACCTCCGCCTCCCAGGTTCAAGTGATTCTCCTGCCTCAGCCTCCTGAGTAGCTGGGATTACAGATGCCCACCACCATGCCCGGCTTATTTTTTTATTTTTAGTAGAGACGGGGTTTCACCATATTGGCCAGGCTGGCCTCCAACTCCTGACCTCAGGTGAGCCACCCACCTTGGCCTCCCAAAAGTGTTGGGATTACAGGCATCAGCCACCGTGCCCAGCCAGAGGCAACATTTTTAACACTGTTATAGTTCTAGGAAATTATAGGTCCTTTGAAGGAAAATTCTGTGGGCAAATAAGATAGTGATGTATGGTATTTCAGTTTTCCCAAATGTGGCTGGCCTGATCTGGTCAAAAATTTTATTTTTTTTTAACTGTAGTGTCTTTTTTTTTCCCCCCCAAATTTAAGGCAACATGCACAAAACTGGAGATTTGAAATTAAAGCCAAGATTTGTAGCTTCTCTGGAAAGACCTGGCAAGATTGGACTGGATTGCTATGTGACCAGGACCCCACTAGATGGCCCTCTAATCCCCAAGTCCTTACTGCATGCTCACCTTTGTTACCTGGCTGGCAGGTGTGGGGCTTTTAACTTTATGGCACCTGCTCTATTCTCTGGATCCTTCCTGGGGATTTATGATGCATGATAAAGACTCCGGGAATCTGGTTAGCTTTGCTTAACACAACATTTCCAAAACTTGTTGGAATGCATGAGCACAGTGACTAGTAGCATTCTGTGAAGTACAATGTATGGGGGCTTAGGAGTTTAGGGTAGTATACAGAATTAGGAATAGGATTTAAGTCTAATCCTAACTCTTAGCAGTTACACTGGATGACATTAGAGCAAAAGGTTCTTTATGTCTACATTTTCTTCATCTGTTAGATGTAATAATTTCCATATCAACTATGACATACAGTGGTAATTCCAATGAAATGTTACATGTGAGAAGTCTTTGAAATGTAAAATACACTACAGATACTGAAGCAGTTTGGAGAATTAAAAAACACTACAAAAACACAGCTTGGTAAATAATTTTTTTTTTTCTTTTGAGACAGAATCTGGCTCTGTCATCCAGGCTAGAGTGTAGTGGCACAATCTTGGCTCACTGCAACCTCCGCCTCCCGGGCTCAAGCAATTCTCCTGCCTCAGCCTCCTGAGTAGCTGGGATAGCCACCATGTCCACTTAATTTTTGTATTTTTAGTAGAGACAGAGTTCCACCATATTGGCCAGGGTGGTCTTGAACTCCTGACCTCAAGTGATCTGCCTGCCTCAGCCTCCCAAAGTATTGGAATTGCAGGTGTGAGTCACCGTGCCCGGCCAGGGCTTAGTAAATAATTTCAGTGGTGTTACACCTATAAGTCTCTTGCTGTATGGTATCTTTTAAAATAACATTTCTGTTTTGAAACGGTTGATACTGGGTAATTTGGCTATCGTCATATACTGTAGAAAGAAATTGTCAAGTGAGAGGGAGAATAGGTAAGAAGGAAGAAAGGGGAGGAATTTAGTGAATGAACTATTTTCCTTTAAATATATTAATCTTGTAGATTACATTGAATTTATTATTATTATTATTTAAGGTATTGTTGAGATTCCATTACCTACAATCAGTCTTGGGACATTAGAATACTGGTATGATTAAGACTGTATGTTTAGAGCCGGGCGCGGTGGCTCAAGCCTGTAATCCCAGCACTTTGGGAGGCTGAGACGGGCGGATCACGAGGTTAGGAGATCGAGACCATCCTGGCTAACACGGTGAAACCCCGTCTCTACTAAAAAATACAAAAAAACTAGCCGGGCGAGATGGCGGGTGCCTGTAGTCCCAGCTACTCGGGAGGCTGAGGCAGGAGAATGGCATGAATCCGGGAGGCGCAGCTTGCAGTGAGCTGAGATCCGGCCACTGCACTCCAGCCCGGGCCAC